TGTGTGTGTCGGTGTCGGTGTGTGTGTCCACTGTGGGCAAGAGCTGACTGTCAGGCCATCAACAAGTGTCAATTTCATGTAATGCTGGTTTATCGCCGTTATCGGGTATCGAAGTTATCGCATGATCTGCCTGTCGAGTGTTTGGTTATAGTTGATGGACAGTAAGGTATAACTGGTATCTATCTGTCTCTCCTTTCTTCATGATTTTTATTGTTCGATCAGTACCCAAATTTCGGTGTGGAGTGCTAGTTAGTTCATGTCTTTGTGTTGGGCTATATGGCTTTAGTGCAATTTCTTATTTGGGCGCTGCCAGGTGGAATACCCTTCCACCGGCTTGCCGCATGCCTAGTTCACCAGCTGAATTTCGCTCATCCATCAAATTTTACCTAGGGTTCCCTGTAAAAAGGCGCTGACGCCTGTTGGGAATTCCCTAGTAAAAGAAGAATAAATAATAATAGTATTTGGTTTCCTTTGCCATGGACAGCAAGGCACAGTGAACGTGTGCTCAACTATTGCCCTTCAACGCTGTACATTTCTTGCCTTTGCTTTGATCTCATTGCTCAATGCTGTAACTCTATTTCTGCAGCCCGGTAGTGGTTTCAAATACGCCGAGGTGGTTGTCGGTACGAAACAACTTCAGGTCTATTCGGCTAGTCTAGTCCTGGATGCACGTTTCTCCGGCGTCAGGTGAGGCCGATGCTAAATAGACCTATACACTGCATATCTTGTACTCATGACCAGTGCTACCCCACAGTTCGTCCAGACCAGTATTCGGCAACGGATGGTGATACATACATACAATCATGTATTTAGCCGGCTAGGTTGGGAGCGCACATGCATCTACATGTATAATGTACAATGTGGTGTGAGTAGTGATTGTCACGATGGTGTGAGTCATTGGCAATCTTGTATGATTGATATGAGTGTGTGAGTGTGTGTGTGTATCATGTTGTTCAGGTATATGATGTACTACTGGCCAGTGATAAGCGCGGCTGTGTACATTGCAAGCGTCATGTGGTTCCTGTGCACAGTCTCTGCACTCATCTTGTTCCACTTGTTCGGTTTCCGCCTGCCCATCTCACTACCTGCACTCCCGGGAGCTGACGATGACGACGATGAAGACGGTGAAGGTAATCAAGACCAGGCAAACGGCGGTGGCGCTCCTGCAGCCGATGCTGGTGCCGTTGCTGGTGAAGGGGCTCAGCAAAGGCGAGCAGGGGATAATGATGATGTGGCGCGGCAGTTGGAAGGCAGACAGCGTCGACGGGCAGGTCCAGGTATGTTTTGAATCTCCAGGTGCTGCAGGCATTCTTTCTGCATGCACTTAGCTGTACAGTACAGTCAGCTTTGCTAATAACGACTGTGGTCACTGTGGATAGAACGACAGAATTCCCATGCCCAGAGCAAAGTCACATCTAAATGTAATACAGTCATATAAGGCCATGGTAAAAAATAAAGTTGATTCTCAGGTCATGAGCCTGTGAAAATCGGTCCGAGCGAGCGCTTTTTTATTTCATTTCCCACAATTTTTTTATTTCCAAAGATAGGGTCACACATATGTACATGGTCACATGTTTGTTATTCAGGCCAGGGAGTAGAAAAACACCGGTATTTTACTACTCCCTGATTCATGCCTTTCGCATTGACCGTTCTCATGCGCGATATGCATGCTTAGAAATTAAAAAAATCGTCGGTGCGCCGCCAAAAGTCGGTGCGCCGCCAAAAGTCGGTGCGCACGTACTTGAGAATCAAAGATAATTTTTACCATGGCCTAATGAGACTTCGGGTATAAGGACACTTCGCGAATAAGGACACTTTTCTGATACCCCGTCGAGTGTCGTTATACGCGGAGTTGACTGCAGTACCTTGATGCAAAGTCGACGCATTTGAATCATACAAGTAATTTTGCTTCAGTTGTCTTTCGCAGGATTCTAATTCATCTCAGCATGCTGTAACGTGCTGTGTTGTTGTTGTGTCATTGTGTCAGGAGGGCTGCTCATTGGCCAGGCTATCAGTGACGAAGAGCCGGAGCAACTCGGAGCATTGCATCCTCTACACGAACCGGATGACGACAATGATGCCGATGTCGATACTGACACCGACCCAAACGGTGCTGATGGCGAAGGCGACGGTGGCCAAAACGCAGGCAATGACCGTGATAGTGACAGAGGCGACGCGGCCGTCGGTGCTGCTGGTGCTGATAGCGATGGTGACGGTGTGGACGAGTATGGTGCCCCCAGAGTACTTGGCCTGCAGCATGCACACGCCGATATTGATGCTGGCCATGATACTAATAGCGACGATGAGAGCGGTGATGATGATGATGATGATGAGAGTGATGGTCTGAACGATATCGTCTTGCTGGCCGTGGAGAGAGGAGCGCGCGGTGCAGATGGTCAGGGAGGAGAAGCACGGCGGCGTCATGCATAACACCGTGAGTAGTACGTACGCCAATGCAATGGCATGCCTTACTGGTGACACGGCATGCTCTTGATTCTTGTCTTGTCCAGTTTAGTCAAGCATATTCCTGGCATCTTTCTTGTCTGGACTTGATTTAGCTCTTTGGTGTGTGCATTCATTGTGCAAGATAGCTTCCTGCTGGTCGGGGAGTTGAAAACATTTTCATGTGCAAATTTTGTATCCACTGTTTCACAGATTTATCCACATCTCCACATTTTTACTTTGCTCATATCATACTACCAGGCCACCACAGCCACGACCACGACCACAATAAATCCTGAACTTGCTCATATGGAAACAAAGTCCTACTATTTTTTTTATTTGTCATTAGCTCTCCTTCTCTAGTCTCGATGCGGAGCTGCCCTTCATGCTGTGCCATGCTCTATGAAAATCTTACCCGTTATTTTATTCATCACTTGCAAACGGGAAAAGTCTGAAGAAAAAGATTTAACTGTCACCACCAGGACTCGAACCAGGGACCCTCGCTTATGGCCAGCGGTGCTCTGCCACTCAGCGATGGTGTAGTCGGCATCCAACCCTTCAGCCCTTTCAGCCCTTTATTTATTGCTTTTTTTTTTAAACTGCCCCTTGGCTTGGGAAAGTGCTCCGTGCTGCAAAGTAGAGTTTACACTGACAGTTAGGTTGATTTAGGTGTAATTCAGTGTAATTCAGTGTAGTTTAATGGCCTCAGAGTCGAGCCAGTGTGTTGTTCGATGATTGGCTCAAGGCCCGGGAAATCTGAGTATGAGTTGCAATCGTGTCATTAACAACTTTATTGCTACATTTTTCAACCTGTGTCAACCCTTGCGGGTTTTTTTGGACATACTCTCTGAGGAAATATGTGTACGGTGCAACTCAGTATAACTCGCCTTGTAAGCTTTATTGTGCAGCATTGAGCACTCTCGTACTCTCTTGGTTTGCGAGAGTGCTCAAAGCCGCAAAGTGCATTCAGAGCTTACTAGGTAAGTCGACAGTGGTAGTAACTTGCCTGTAAGGGGCCCGGTGATCCAAAATACGGTTATATTTTCGAGACGATATTTGTTCATTTCTCCCCAGACCCCCCTCAAAACGAACATGCACAGGTTTATGTTTAGGTTCACCCTACCATAGCCATGGTCGCAAAACCTTGCCGTGGCAATATTCACGAGGCTGACTTTCACTTTTTGTAGGTCATCAACTACAAGTTTGTAACAGTGCCCATCCACATGTGGAGATCGATATTTTTGAACTAAGACGAGACAACCAGAGACCCAACCCCTCCCCCAACGAATATCTTCTCTAAAAAAATATTGATCAGTATTAATTTTGTGGACGACCCCTGAGGTAGATCCCGTTGTTACACAAAGCAGTCATGGCCTGGAGGCAATCGTGTGTGTTGTTCAATGATTGGCCCAGAGGCCTAGAAAATCTGAGTAGGAGTTGCAACACAATCCACGTTGTCTTTACTGCCAAATGCATGTATGGGAGTCGTCTAAAATACATGTACGAGTATGTCATGAACATGATAACAAGGCAAATGCAATGGTAGATCTACGAGGTCTCCAATCTAAAGCCAAGGTTTATGTAGACTACACTACATACCCTTGACGATCCCTACAGCGAATCTTGGCCTCAGACTCGAGTCAGAGTCATAATATGACGCCTTGCCCTTGGCCCATGCATTGCCATTGCATATTGGCACTTGCCCTTGGCTTGGGTGTAATCATGGTAATGCTCTTGATCTGAAGCCAGTGCATGCTACAATACTGGAGCAGTATGGTGAAGGTGTGTGCATGCCAGTGGCAGTGTTTATGCATGGCTGCACAGCGCATACAGCGTGTGTCACACTCACAGTCTCAATCTCACATGCACAGAACAGAACAGGGAAAGATGACGACGTCGACACGCACGTGGGTAACCCTACTTTTACGTCTTTTGAATCTGGTTTTGTAGACCCCCCAACAAGGCCGGCCCCCCATTATAATAATTTTATATTGGAAAGGCTTTCTGTCTAAAGCCTTTCCATACTGGTGCTCGATGTTTTCAGTTTGGGGACACCAAAATTAGTGTACCGCTAAAGACACGTGGTCGACACGTTGTTGACACTTTGTTGACACTTTGTTGACACGTGACCCAATAACCGGCCTACCAAGGGCCTTTGGGGACCGCTAACAGCAACTGTGGAACAGTGCAGTGCCCTTTTTTGGAGCAACGTACGAGTAGTGCCCGTGGATTATGACCCCGCGACCCCAATCTACGTGGCGATCCGCAATTCGCTACTTCATACTGACTGGCGTCCGGCATCGTCCCGAATTTGGCCGCAATCTGCTCTCGGGACCCTGTAGGGCTCCCTGACCTGCTCCATCTCCGCCATCGTCAATGTACTGCGCATCCACCCAGGCCAGGACTGCACTTACTTACGGGAAGGAGTATTTGCAAGATGGAACCTGGGAACTGGAAGACGACGAAGAAGAAGCGTGGGAATCCGGCAGCAATGGCTGGGATGTAAGTCCAACATTGCTGGTGCTAGAGTTGCCACTGCTTGCTTATAAGGGAATCATGTGTGTTGCCCTTTTTTGCCTTTTCCGACGTCCTCCTCCGACTGTACTCCCAGGACTGAACTTACGGGAAGGAGTGCTTCCAAGATGGGAGACGAAGAAGAAGAAGCCGCTGAATCCGGCGGCAATGGCTGGGATGTACATGTAAGTCCAACAATAAACATTGCTGGTGCTAGAATTGCCACTGCTTGTTTATAAGGGATTCATGTGTGTTGCCCTTTTTTGCCTTCTCCCATGTTCTCTTCCGACTGTACTGGTGAACGCTGTCACATATGTTGCCCTTTCCAGGCAGTAGAAGGGAGGGGCGGAGGGCAGCACATCTATCCTGGCATCCAGGAATGCTGGGTGGAACTGGGCAATCTGACCTTTCCTCTTACAAGTACTCCAATGATGGTATGGATGGGGAGTTCTTGAACGTCCTCAGTCTTGTTAGATTGAACTGTGCAAATCGGCAATCGATGATAGCAGAGGACCAATGCTGATGGCGATGCTCCTTCCTTTTTCTCTGTCACAGGCTGCGTTCTCGAGAAGAAGCGTTATTTCTGCATTCCAAGAAGGACGGCACAATGGTGAGTGGAACTTCGTGGGTGTGCAGCCTTGCTAGTTGAGTTGTAAATCAACCATTCTTCCTGTCTCTGACTTCTTCAATGTCCTCCTCAGTGTCGGACTGTCCGCGTCGCATTGAACTGGTTCGATGAGGCTGCTATTGCACACACAGTGAGGGAACTCCCATACGGGAACTCGGAAGTACTGCTACAGTACAGGTAAGGTGGCCGTTGCTTATGTGCGTGCGCCGTTGTTGTCAACTTTTAAGCCAGATGTTTCACAATGCATTGCACCAAGAGTACATAACCCCGGAGGTCATGTACTCTTGATTGCACTCAGCACCGCTTCTCGGAATATCTTGTCAGGATAGCTGTGGAACGCATCCTCCCCAGTGGAGGAACGGCAAATGTGCTGTTCATTTTAGGCTTGCTTTTATGGTACGTACAAATCCCCATTGAAAAGACATAGTGGAGACGAGAAACTGCAAATAGATGTTGGGAACCGGGAAGACCACCCTTCCTTGCCAAGTTCCCTGAGGGTGTGGAGGGGGGGGGGGGGGGAGAGTGGAGGAGGAACATTTAAAGCAGGATTCACAGGAGCATTTTCGGAAATTGCTTGTACATTTGTACCAGTTGTAGCCGACAAACGCATTCTCGTTGAGCTTTGACTTGACAAGTTGAGGCACGTCAGCAAGGCGCTGTTGCATCGCTTACGTCTTGTCGTGATTCTGTGAATGGTATTTTGTGCGAGTTTGCATCGCACGCAGAATTGCAGGTCATGCCGCATTGCGCAGCACACTGCCAAATTGCTTCTGTGACTCCCACGTGAATAGGAATTCCAATGGGAATGTAATCCATTGCCAACAGGTGTATTCCCGAGCTGCGCATCATACTGCAAAATTGCTCCTGTGCATGCAAGTGGATTTCATTGCTCTTTTCAGTTTAGGAAATTCTCGATTATGATAATTCTGTGTGTGTGTGTGTGTGTGTGTGTGTGTGTGTGTGTGTGTGTGTGTGTGTGTGTGTGTGTGTGTGTACACCAGCCCTGAACATACATGTAGGTGACCCATTTGTGGTGTCTCATAGCCTACCTCACGACCTTATGCTTTCTTTCTGCATCACTTGTATCTTGCAGGTATATCATCCCGTGACGACCACATTGAAGTCTGAATTTGAAGTGTCAGCAACCCCTTCAACCCCTTCATTTTTTCCATTGCTTTTATTGTGCTGCTACTGTGCATGTGATGACAACGTATGCCGGTGACACGGTCAGATTTTGTCCATGCGTGAACGTACACCTGCATGCTATCGTTGAAAAGGATCTGCCACTTACGATCTTCGGACGAGTATCAGGTCAGCTTGGTTTTGTGTGGGCTGTACCAGATGCTGTTCACTTCTCTATCTGTTGGATATGTGACTTTCTGCAAGTTTCTGGTGTATGGTGGCCACTTCTTTGCTTGTCTTTGTATGACATTACAATCATTCTGCACTCACTACTTCCATGGTGTGGTCTGCAAACTGCAATCCTTACGCAAATATCATCACGGTTTGCAATGTTGTGCTTTGGCTGCCAGCTTACCTTTATTTTGTTTCACAACTGACTTCCTGAAGTATGGTGGCCACTGCTTTGCATGGCATTATACAATGTTCATCAAGAATTTTCCTGTTTGGGCCGTGTGTGTGTGTGTGTGTGTGTGTGTGTGTGTGTGTGTGTGTGTGTGTGTGTCACTGTGTGTGTATGTGTCACTGTGTGTGTATGTGTGTGCCATGTGCATGTGCATGTGCTTGTTTGTCACAATGTGTCTGTGTGCAGGGTAGCGAGGTGGAAAGGGCTGGAATGTATCCGTGTGCTACTGCAATCGCATGGCTACATACAGTGCATCGCGCGCATGCTCACCATGTTTATCTTCGGAGCTGGGCCGGGGTGGGGGAGGGAACAGAAAAAGAACTGAAATTACCCATATAAAAACCGCTCTGTGAGCGGTTCTGAAAAACCTCTACTGGTGCAGCCCCGTCGTAAAAGTAAGAAATTAGGACTGGTGCATTGTCCTCCCAAATGTGAACTGATCCACCTAAATCGCGATTGACGGGACCCGAACGCACCAGTAGCACGAGGTCGGGAGGGCACAGGATTACAGCAATGGACCGGCGCCGATCAAGTTACCATACAACACTTAGGGTTGGTTCACATATCGCCGGTACGCGCCGGGAGTCACCGGCGGTGGGCTTCTTGCAACCTCTCCCGGCGCATTCCGATTGTGTGAACCAGTGCAGTCGTAACAAAATCATACGGTAAAATATCGCAAGGGACCGCCGGCAAAGTTGGACAGTGCCCAACTCTTGCGATCTGCCCCGGCGCCGATCCCGTACGATTT